GGGGGGGGGGGGGGGGGGGCGGCCTGCTTCCGACGCGACTTGGAGTCCATCTCCCTCAGCCACCAGGACTGAGGCAGTGCCTGCCCCACAGCATATCTGGGCCCGACAACGGGGATCTGCTAACGACGCCGCGTGTTTGCTGAGGGCCATCTATCGCACACGTAAGGGAAGCTCTACAGAGGGTCCTAACCACCCGTTTCTTGGTCACATGTGCTTATTTCCACCCTCACCCACCCCCTCGCTGTTCTCCCAACTCCTGTCCCATTGGCAAAGTTAGCAGAGACCTTACGCAAAAGTTAACTGCCTTTTCCGGGTGTGTCTGGAGCCCTCCGCTCTCAGGAGGAGCCCAAAGCTTCCTCCTTCTGCCCAAAGCCCCGGCCCAGCCAGGTAACAGCGATGGCGTGTGCTCCGCTCCCCAGAAGGGAAGCCAGTTTGCTCCCCCATCTCAGCTGAAGATATGCAGGTGGAGAGGCTCAGAGAAACAACGCGACCCGCCCAAGGACGTGTGAACACACTTGGTAACAGCCAAGCAGGTGCAGGCACACACCCCTGTGAACCTGAAATGGCCCCGGCTCCTCTGAGATGGGCTTCTGAATGGGGCAGAGAGGAGGGGCCTGCACCTGGGGAGGGTTCCACTTACTCTGGAGAAGGCGACATGAGGCCGTGGCATCAGGAAAGCGTGCTCCCAGGTGCCGGCCCAGCCCCTTTGGGAGCATCCCTCCCCTCCTGTGCACCCCCTCAACCAGAGCCCACGGAGCCCAGCTTTCTCAGGGCACCAAGGTCTACCCCCCTGTGAGCAGGAGCCTCCACAGGCCTGTGCCTGAAGGAATGGCTCAGGGCAAAGGCCACCAAGGCCACCTGTCCACGCAGACACCAGGTCTGGCCCAAGCAGAGCTCCACAGCTGCTCGGTGGCCCCAGCTCAGGGCTGGGCAGGAAGTGCTAACAGACATGAAGCTTACCCCGGCTCACGAGGACCAGCCACCCAGCCCCTCCCTGCCCTCCCCATGCTTCCGAAACCTGTCCCAGAATCTCTGTTGGAGGCTCCAGCTCTCATGTGCCTGCAACCACAGGGGGAGGGAGCCTTGTGTAGGCAACTTTACCAGACCCAACCAGACGACGGGATTTGGCAAAATAAGATCAATCCTGTAGGTGAGCTGCTGAGGGGGACGAGAGGACAGAAAGAGCGGAGGCTGAGCTCTACAGGAAGCCGAATGTCGGGGGACAAGGGAAGGAATGCCGGGCTGGGACAGCTCAGATGACGTGTCGGAAACACCGAGTGGCCCCAGCCCGCTGGCCCCGCTAGCTCACACCCCAGGGAGGCGTGGAGCCAGGTCTGCAGGTGCTTAGAGCCGAGCCACGCGAGGGCTTGGAGAGCGAGGAGGCAGAACGTGGGGTCAGCAGGAAAGGCTGGGCTGAGCGTCACAGGGCCAGTGGGGGCGGGGGCAGGTCTGACCGGGCAGAGGGGCCGGTGAGGCTGAACGCAGAGTGGGAGGACGTGAGAACCAACAGGGGCTGGAGGAGAGGAGGGCAGGGAGCTGCGAGCGGGCATTACCTGTGCATTACCTGTGCTTCTCGCCCTCAGCTGCTTGGTCTTTGGCTCCGCATCTTCCTTGTCCTGCAAAGGAAGGGAGAGAACCAGCTGCTCAGATGAACGTTCCTACTTCCAGCCCACAGCGCCCGGGCAGCGAATGAGGAATAGGAGATCTCGGAGGCACACACCCAGGCCAGCAGCTGCAGCCTCCGAGCAGGCACGGCCGCTGTCACTGCCGCCACAGCGCTGATGCCTCCCTCCTCGCCCTCAACTCCCGGCAGAATTCAGAACCCACCACCCAGTCCAGGCCAAGGCCCAGAGGCCCTCAGACCACTAGCAGGGGGAGCCAGGAGGCTTCAGGTGCCACAGAGGGCTCACGCCACCAGCACCTTCCTGGGTCTGAATAGCTCCACCCGCTGAGCTGGGAGACTAGGGAGGAGCAGCCACCAGCAACCGGGAGGTCAGGCCCCGGGCCTTCGCTCCAGAAACACCTCTGTGGTTCCCGTCAGGAGCAGCACAACTCAACCTCAGACCAGGCCTGTAACCACTCCCCCCTGCAATGTCCTCGGGAAACGGGGGGAGGGGGACTCGTTGAAATTCCTACGGGAAAAGCTTCTGTAATCTGTCTTCCTGCTGCCCCCGACCGGTCTGTGAGTCTAGAGGTCATTCTCATCGCAGCCTTGACAGCAGGCTGCTCTCAGGAGCACAGGCCCCACAGAGGGCACTGCCAGGCTCCCAGCTGCAGCGAAAGCTCTGCTGGGCTCCCCCGCACTCAAATGTGCAGGGCGTGCGAGCCTCCATGTCTGTCCGAATGCGTGACCTGCCCTCGGAGCACGTGGGAGGCTCCAGAATAGAGCCTGTCCAGGATCTGCCTGCACAAGGGGGAGCCCCCCAGGGGGTCAGTGTCACTTCCTCCCCAAGGACCTGCCCTGACGCACAGCAGGGTGCTGAGGAGACAGCGGGAAGCCTCCACAGGGACTGCTGTGACGAAGACAAGAGCGAGCTGGCACCGACACACACATCAGAACCGACAGCTGCTTGCCCTGTGCTCCTAGGAGTCGAGTGTGCCCCCACGAGGGACACTGGCTTTGAGTCACTTCCTGCCAGCGTTCACCACGCTGACCCCGAGAGCGAGCCGACCTGCCGCTCCCAGGCCACAGCCTATGGAGAGAAGACGCCGAAGCCAGGTGGAGGCCTGGCCCAGGTGGGGGTCGAGATGTGAACAGACTGAGATGCCTCCTCGCTCTCAGCCGGCAGCTTGGTCTCTCGGGACAGGCAGCAGGAAGGAGTGACAGCAGCTAGAGAGGTCAACATGGCTCTACCGGGGAGGGGTTCCTACCGAGGGTGGGCAGGATGGGGAGACAGGAGGAAGGAGGACATTCCGGGAGGGAGGGGAGCACAGCTGAAGCAGAGGCGGGTGTGGCCTGAAGCACACACAGCAGCACCGTGAAGGTGAATGTGGGCAGGCTGCCAAGGCAGGTGGGGCT